TTTATGTAGATTATATATATAATGTATGTATCTATTATCTGATAAGTGACTTGAGGAGGAACTCAGAATCAATGTTAGAATTTTGTCTGGGTATAAATATCAATTGATATCCCTAGCTAAACTTCAAGGTTCCCTTGTTTCCATTGCTATTTTAACCAGACTTCTCTAACTTGGACCTTTTTTTTTTCTTTTTCGATCATGTATATATTTGCTTAGTGGGTTTCTGCTTTTCCTTTCACCCAATTTGAATGTGTCACTGCAGCTGTTTAGATCAGCAGAAATGTTTTAGATCAGCAGAAATGTTTTAGACAATTTTCTGCAGCCCTGCTCTGGGGGAAACAAGATGTTTTTTTCCCAAGGTCACCCACACAACATTTCCTCTCTACAAGTAGAGGTGTAGCCAGAGCACTGAAGTAAATTTGATGTTCAATACTTGTTTTGCGATCTCTCTTGTAATCCATCTAATGTTGTTAATCAGTTGGACCAGATTTGCCTTTGCAGAAGTGCTAATGGCATCAAGCAGGACAAAGCGGGGATTGGAAGCAATGCTACTGAGTCACCACTACTCAAACTGATTTTTCCAAGGCTGCCTATCCGGTGTACACTGATTTGCTTTCTTTTCTTCTGCATTTTATTTTTTTAAACTGATTTATCCAACTCTTTCACATAATATTCCTAGGATGGCAGAATGTCATGGGCGGCATCAAAACAACTAGCAAGAAATCAGAATTACTCACTTTTTGTGATTGCTTTCTGAAACCATGGGATTCCTTGGGAGTCCTGTCACATGAAGTCTGTTCACAATGACCTTGCACATGAGACAGTTATTGTCAGTACATACTGACATTAGTTCTGGATTGTTATTCACACATCCAGGTTGAAGTGTCTCCAATACCAGGAGAAAATGCATGTGCTTGTGTGATTTAGACCTAAAGCAACGTATCAGTTTGAAGGCTGGCTGTATCCCTGGCATATTTATGCTTTCTGTACTATTATACATACTCTAGGGTGGTATAGAGAGTTAGAGTGGCTCAAGTATCCCAAGCCTGGACAGACAGGACAAGTGGAATTGCTGAGCTGAGGGTGTGCTGCCTTGGCACACCGGGCTGTTAGCTGACACCTTGAGTGCATTTGAGGCCTTTCTGTGTAGGTGGCTGAAAATGCTTTGGTGCACAGTGCTTACTGATAGATATGCTACAGACTGAGGGTGACTTTTTCAAAAGCAGAGAAAATGTAAAGATACCAGGTCTTCAAGTAGGTTCTTTTGGGGTCTGTCTTCATTTGTGGTTTCCCCAGGCCTGCTGCCTTCAGACCTAGAAGGTGGTGTCTGTCCCTAAGAGTTCATCAGTTTGGTGCAAAGTGTGTAAAGGGTGAGTAAAATACCTGTCTCCCTTGAATTTTGTCTTATCAGTGGGACAGGAAAGTAATTTTAATCTCATATTTTCCTAAATTGTCCCTTCTTTTTGGAGCAGGCAAGGGAATAACCCTGGTTTTGAACATGTTCAGTAGTCAGGGTATTTCGGTTCAGACATCGCTTTTGCCGCATGTGCCTGCACATGAATTGAGGATTACTCATCTCTGGGGTCTTGTTTTGAGTCCACTTTTTTTGTTCTGATGTGGGTAATTTTGGAGGATGTTTTGGAAGCGGGATTCCATTTTGCCCTCCTTCTGTCTGTAGTTAGGAGCACAAGGCTTGCACCTACACACTCGAGCAATCCTCAGCACTGAAGTGGTGCACTGGTTTGGTTTCATACTGAGCAAGAAAAGTTGGGAGCATGCGCTGTGGGGGTAATGCTGTAATCGTACCTCGTTAATTAAAACCCAGTTCACAGTTGTACATCTAGCTGAGCCTCTCTCCCACTTGGATGGCTACTTGGCAGCAATATCGTACCAAAATCTTTAATGCCAAAACCAGATGTTCATATTAACTTTCAGAGTTTTCCACAACTTAAGTTCTGTCACTGTCAGCATCCACTCTGTGGGCAGTTCTGAGGTATCTCAAGAAGCTGGTTGAGCTTGACTGCAAGTTATTATCTAACATGCTAGCCAACATTTCTTTCAATCTGTTTGGAAGTTTCTCCTCCCTTTTAAAAATCAGTTATACTTACTTTATGGAAAATACTGTTATAAGAAAGGTTTTCTTACATTTTTTTATTGTTTAGGACAGAAAAATTGTTGCAGACCCAGAAACTTGTCATTTTGCCTAAAAATCAGGCAGTTCTATATCAACATGGATTCTTTTTCTGGTGAAACCCTTTTGAATACACTTGTCAAAACAGTCATCACACACTGATGTATGTGACTCCAACCCTGTTGTGAGACTTCTGACCCATTCACTTTCTAATTGCAATCATTAAAGCGATCCTTCTTGCATCCTCAGCAGACAGAAGGTCCTCCTCAGCCTTGTGGACCCGTCATTCTCACTTAGCCAGATTTTAAAATTGAATTCTGGTCAGCATGTAAAATATCCAGGCTGACTCCTTAATCCAGCAACCTCCTCGGGCAAACGCAATAGCAACAGCCCCATCAGGTCCAGCAGAACTCTGCCTGGGTGCCAGCTGCTTCTGTGGAAACCCAGCTCAAGGATGGGGATTCCTGTGGCGCATTTTCTATCACCTACTCCAAAGAACACATTAGACATGAAATTTTTAAACCATTACTTTTGTACTGCTTCCCTTGATAAAAATCACTTTGCATTTTTGAGCATGTACGTAGTACTTACTTGAAGGCAAACGTATTTCCAAAGATTGCACCATAAAGTAGACAGATCTGCAACACAGTCTGAAGAGGAAATGGCAGGATTCAGTTTTAAGATTATGTTGTTTGCTGAACAAAGTGCTTTGCTTCAAGGTCCCAGAGCTTCTGCATGACCTGTGGACAATTTGCCTGCTTCATTGTGTGAGGCCTAAGGTAAAATTTGCATCTGTTCAGTAAATTTAAAGCCTAAATTACAAATCCAGCTGCAAATTCAAATGATGAGTGTAGAAATCTAATTGCAGGTGGCAAACTGTTTCAAGTCTATATCCCATGCTTCTTATAGCGCTTATGTGAGCCCACTGGATTATCTCAAAGGTTTTTTTTCCTTTTTGTTTTTAAGAACTGAAGCTTATTCACACCTTCCACCAAACCTCTGAACCTGTTGTATGAAGCGCTATGGCTTTGGGTCATTCAAGTTTTTGAGGTGGTCTCTGTACATTGGCATGCTCTTTATTTCCGGACTACTGGATTTGTGCAGTATTTCAGATACATAGAGCTCTAAGGTTGCCATCCTAACTTTTCTGGCTCCTCATGGGTCACTTCATTCCCATTAGCTAGTGTTTCAGCATACAGAAAAGCTGCTTTTATCCCTACCTGAGGGCACCTCTTTCAGCATAAGCTGCAGCATTTGTCTGAGTAGACATTTATGGTTGAAGCTGTTGAGCCGTGATCAGTAACAGGTAGACCCTCCCTCTCTCCTTGCAGTTGTTTCTAGCTATGCTAACGCAATGTGCTCTGTTGAACTTGGCACACACAATAATTTCCCTTCAGGAACCTGAGACTGCCAGCTTGCAGTGCAGCAGAAACAGCACTTTTCAAAAAAAGGAGCTTTCATTCACCACCATGTGCAGAGTGAAGGTTAAAAACTGGGGAAGTCTGTGAGCATGTTTTTCCCTTTAATTTAGCTCTTTATCTTTCCTGACAAGGGCTGATGTTTCTCTTCTAGCCTAGTTACCTCCACTCATTGACAAACCTTCTCACTTGAAACAGTCCTTTTCTGCAGCTGTCCGTGTCCTCTCATGCTCTTACCAGCCTGTTGGCTCCTGCTGACTCTCCCCGTTCTCCTTAGGTTACCCACATCTCCACCCTTCTGCAAGCACACGGTCTTTCCGCAGTTTTGCATCCTTCCCACATTGCAGGCTTGAGGGTGGATTCACATCTGTTCCCCAAATGCTTTTGGAGGGTGAATGGGGTTTGTCTTTTTCATAATGGGCTTGGATGGTGAAAGAGCCTCTGATGTTGGTTTACAAATCCAGCCAGTCAGCAATGAGACTGCCTCTGATCAAAAAGCTGCTTTGGTTGTCATGTTAGTACCATTTTCTCAAATTGTCACTGGGGTTATATTGCAGTAACAGATCATAGAGTGTCCCTAGATAAACCTAGGATCATTGTTTTACTTTCGGAATATGGACAAAATTGGTCTGTCACTTTGCCAGTGCTCAAAATCCCAACCTCCTTGACTCCAGTGGAGTTTATTATTTTCTCTGGTGTAGGGACACATCCCAGCAAATCCAGGCTAGTCAGGGTGATTCTGCTCGTGCAATGTGAAGATATCTTCACCACATCCAGCACCCAATTTCATGCCTGCCTTTCTGGTCTCGCTGTGCGATTTGTTTTTACTGCTTGCTTAAATTCGCTGTGTTTTTCCACTTAGGCTGCTCCAAAGTGACGTGCATCAGTTTGACTCGCGAAGCCTCCATCAAGCTGTCCCCCTTACATGGGAAACAGATCTCCATTCGCTACCTGGACATGACAGACTGCTTCGTCCTGGAGGACGAAGGACTGCACACCATTGCCGCCCACTGCACTCAACTGACCCACCTGTACCTGCGCCGCTGCGTCCGCATCACCGATGAGGGTCTCCGCTACCTGATGATTTACTGCACGTCCATTAAGGAACTGAGCGTGAGCGACTGCCGCTTTGTCAGTGACTTCGGCATGCGAGAAATCGCCAAGCTGGAGTCGCGCCTCCGATACCTTAGCATCGCTCACTGCGGCCGGATCACAGATGTGGGCATCCGTTACATAGCCAAATACTGCAGCAAGCTGCGCTACCTCAATGCGCGGGGCTGCGAGGGCATCACGGACCACGGCGTGGAGTACCTCGCCAAAAATTGCACAAAACTCAAATCGCTAGATATTGGCAAGTGCCCTCTGGTCTCAGACACCGGCCTGGAGTTTCTAGCCCTCAACTGCTTCAACCTGAAGCGCCTGAGCCTGAAATCCTGTGAGAGCATCACTGGGCAGGGCCTGCAGATTGTAGCCGCCAACTGTTTTGACCTGCAGATGTTGAATGTGCAGGACTGCGACGTCTCTGTGGATGCTCTGCGGTTTGTTAAACGACATTGCAAGCGCTGTATTATAGAGCACACCAACCCTGCCTTCTTCTGAAAGGACACCCCACACCCGTCGTTACAATGCAGTATTAAAAACACTGATGTATAAACACACGCTCCCATATTCAGTAATGCTGTCTTTTCTATAGCTCACGGGAGTCAGCTTTTCTTGTATGTTGTGAGTGAGGGGGGTTTCTAGAGAACTATTTTGTTTGCTTTTTGTATGATCACTTTTTAAGGTGCCGTGCGTCTCCGTGGAGAGGCTGCCTTAATGCAAAAGCAATGAGTGCTCAGCATCCCTGGTGGGGTGCCATTTCCATAACAGCCATGATCTCGTCCCAGGCTACTGTAGCTACCTCCAAAGGAAATAGCACATAATCCCTCCTTTGGAAACACTACTAAGCTGTGTCAAATACATCTGAATTCCAGCTGTGCTCATGAAGCTGACTATGCAATATGTGTCTGGGTTCCCCAACTTCTCCCAGTATGGTTGACAAAGCATCCTCTTGTCTCCAAGTAGTTTCTTTTTGGTAGCCATCCATTGTAATCTGTCAGGAAATACTGGGTAAAGTTCTTAAACATACTTGATTGAGGCAGAAGAAGACCTGCTGGCCATTGCCACACACTCTGCTGAGTGACTCTGGAGATTGTGCCTGTGTGTGGATTCTGTCAGAAAGCCCACCCCCGGGTCACTCGTGCATCATCACTACTTGCCTTTGTTTCTGGATTCTCCCTCTCCTGCATGTGTTGTACCAGCCTCTGGTAGCAGATAGGAACTTCCAGGTCCGATAAGCAGTGGCATATTCACCTGAGTGAAGGAAAACAGATGAAGGAAAACAGATGAGATTGGTGGCCTGGCAAAGGAAAAAGCCAGTAAATCAGTCTGAGAAGCTGGTATTATTCTGCAACAAGCTGAAATAGCACCATAGGACACCAGGGACTCTCTGAGGCGTTCGGGAGCAGCTTGCATGGGGCAGTCCCAATTGCAGTGCTGTGTGGCTACCACCAGAAAGTCTGTCTTTGTTTCTTCAGTGTACCTCTTCAGCAGCAGTGGCACCACTGCAGCTGACACTCCCTACGCAGCCCAGGCACGTGTGTTGAGGTAAATTCGGTATGTGCCTTGATACATACAGAAACCCGACCCTTTTTCTGTGGCCTTCCAGTTCAAAGGATGCATGGCTGATCTCAAGACTTCAGAGATGTTAGCCTGATGTTAGATAACACCCCTGGGGACAGAGGGGCTTAGAGTGTTTTTGATTTAGATTTTGTGAAACCTTGTCTGTGTGTCTTTCCTTAGGCTGGACAAACAGCTGCTGTTCAACAAGGAATGAAAATGCCAGCATTACCCTGTGACACTGGGCCCCTTGTAAGAGCAAGAGGGGTTTGGTGGCTCTTCCATCTCATTGCCTCTTTCCCCAGAACATGTGGTCGATTCATGGCTACTTTCTTCACAGTTTTCTGGCAGCCATTTCCCTGCGTCTTCCCGTGTAATGCTCAGATCTGAAAGCCAGACATGTTAGGGGTGATGATATTTTCAGGCAGGCCCCCTGCGCCTGACTGACAGGTGAATTCATACGTTCAGCTCAAACGCTATAATTGTCTCGGTAGAGAACATAGGAAGGGAAGCACCATGTCTGGTTTCCATAAGCAGTAGTTCCATCATCTCCAGACAACACTAATAAAATTGTTGATATGAAGTGAAAATCCATATGCTCGAGAAAAATACATAGCTGCTGAGGAAATACTTTTAGCTATGCTCTCTCAAATTACAAAAAAGCAACGGTTTGGACATGTCCCTGCAGAGGGAACTTGTCCTACTGCTGCAAAAATTCCTGTAACTTATGTATGTTCCTCCAAATTTGAGTTTCTTAACATACAGGATATCATCAGCTCTGAAGTATAAATCAGATTGTACTAAAGCAGAAAGGGTTATGGAAAATGGTTTTGTCATTGCTACTATTACTGGTCCATGACTAATAGAGGGTGATACCATCCTTTGGCCAGTTAATATCACCTTGGTTTTGCTTTCTGTATTTTTAAAATTAGAGATTCTTCTCCAGCAAGTAGAACATTACTACAGATACTGTAGATACATTATCTGAGGCAGCTATACTCTCTGTTTATCCTTTATCCCAAAATGGCCCCAAGGATAGTAAACGTTAAGCCCATTTCTGAGGATGGTGGGATTTTGAGCCATTTGCACTCATGAAATATAAGGCCTCATTAGTACCATTTAACTGTTTCTTAAAAAAAAAAAGCTACTTTTCTGGCTATGCTAAATTGAGTGAATAGTGCTACACGGTTTTTAATGTTTAAATTGGCCTGTACTGTACAAATCTCACTATAAAGCCTTAATTTGCTACCAAGAAATAAAGCAATATATTGGTAACTGATGAGCATGCATCCTCATTTGCACTAATTGACTAACTTTTGGTGAAAAAGAGAAGTTTAAGTACTTGTAAAAGTTTTCTTGAAAGGTAGGTGGGTGAATGAGCACATCAGCACATCAGGTAGGTGGATGACTGTGTTAAAAAAGGAAAAAAAAATTTGTTATAGATTATGACCTTGCCTATCTGTCTCTTTAAAATTTGATTCTCTTCATGTGGTTCTTCTTGACCTTGAAACATAAGCAGTAACTGGAAGTGTAAGTAAAAAAAAACCAGTATATAAAAAGCACGTGTATAAAATTTCAGGAGGGCCTCTGCATTGGTTTAAAGCAAGTTAACATATTTGATGTGAAAAGTAAAATGGAGTTACTGAAAGGGTAGAGTGCTTACTAGTGTTGCCTTTTGAATGCTCTAAAAAAACCCCACTCTGGGGGGCATTGGTGGGAAATGAATAAAAGTAATTTTTCTAAGCCAAAACATTTTAACTATATAGTCTTACATGATCCGAGTTGGCACTCTGAGACTGCTACTTACTTCAAGAAAATCTGAATGTAACTTACTGATACAGCTTGCCTGTTTTGACTTTTAACCTTTTTCCTATGTCTACTTGCAAAATGATGGAACCAGAAAAGAAACCGCAATGCATGTGGAGCCGAGTTTGCTGGAAAGGTTGCAACATGTGAGTGATGTGTCTTCATTCCAGTTTGGGGCTGGCAAAGGCTATAAATTTCCTGAGTGAAAACATTGTTGATTCTTGAACCATAAAATTCGAGTGCAGGCACTGAGGCTTCTTCTGCTCTGCAATAGCATATGGTGATCTCATCAAAGAAAACAGTGATGAATCGCATCGGTCTGGCTGGCATGTTGTTTGTGTCTTTGGAATAACTTCTGAACTGTAGGGATACACTTTTTCTAAGAGATGTATCTTAACCACCATGTACCATGATTATAGCCAGAGCTCTCTATCTGGGTATTCATCCTTCACATTCCCTTGCCTTTTGTAAAAAGTGGAATTGTATTTTCCCCATTAGCATCACAAGATTAATGTGAAGTGCAACATTTTTGCCCTTTTGAGTGGGGCTCATCTGGCTTCCTACAAAATGCAAAACCACTTCTGTTGGATGCCTTGGACTCAGAACCATGGTCCCGACTGTAACCTTCAGTAGTGGCTTGCGTGGTTTCTGAAAACTTATAGCCTTTGAACTGGAAAATTAAAAAGCTAGTAAAAGACCTAATTTTAGCACTAGGCTTGAAGCAGAGCCAAACTCTCATTAAAAAGAAATATAGTGACCATTTATACTGCAGACTGGCTGCCCCACAGCTGCTAGTGTTAGTTTGAAGGGGAAAAGTTCTCTGGCAGAGATGGTGCGTGGCTCCTCTTCCCCCAGCATTCGTTCCCCAGGAAAGTAACCTGTCCTCGCTTTTTTATAATTTTGTCTATTTAGCTATTCGTGCTGAAACTTCCCATGCTGCACTTTGAAAATGTTAGTTGAAATGGTTCATCTGGCTCTGTAAATAAGCTAGGAGGAAATGTCATTTTGCTCATGTTAAACTCCTGGTGACCTTTCCTTTGAAAACGGTTCATTGCTCTTCATCTTCTCTACGGCCTTCAGAGTGAAAGTGTGAGCCTTGCCAGGAGGTCAGCTTTGGGACAAGGATGTGTCTTACTGATCTTCCAGTTAAAATTCACCCAAATTTAGCTACATTGCATGTCTTTGAACATCTCCAACTTCATGACCAGGGAGAAAAGGGGCACGTTCAGATCTTCTGAGTCTCGAGTCTGGCGAGGCTGAGCTTTGGCAAAGCTGAGAGGTGTTTATCACTCTGGCAATGTGAAGGAGGAAATTACCTGAATTATAATGGAAGCTGCCTGGAAAGTCAGGGCAGGGTTGAAAGATGGGGTTTTGAGAACTGGGACAAAAACAAGGATGAAGGAGATTTACTGGGCAGGGGGGATTTGGACTGAGATGGAATGATTTTCAGAAAATAAGTTGGTGCTAGGGTTAAGAAAGGTTGGTTTGTATGACTTGTTGAGCAGGGAGAGTTGAGCCATAGAAAGAAAGTACTGAAGAATGAAGTCTAGGGCAGGGAAAGAAACATGAAGAAAATTACCTGAACATCATGTAAATAGAGTACACTCCCCTGGTGAAGACTGACAAACTGCTTCAGTGAGCATGCCTCAGATTTGAAACAGCCTTTCAAAAACGAAATAGTAATTTTGCATTTAATGCATTCAAAAACTACTCTTTTTTTATATTTTGTGAAGCCAGAAGGTCTTTACAGGCAGGATTTCTGCCTTTACGAGCAAATGTACACAGAGGCCTGAGGCACTGTCACCCTCAGTGTCTTGTTCCCACCTTTGCACCTCTGCGCGAGGCAGTCTGTCGAGAAGGACTAGGCCAGGCAGGTGTGGAGCATCTCTTCTTCCTTTCGCACTGTATTTCAGCAGCACTGGCTGCTCTGCCTTGCTGAGGTGCAGGCGTCAGTGTGGAGCCAAATTTGTGTCACCTTGATGACTGTTAAAGGGCGTAACAATAGGTTCAAGTTACCGCCAGGCAGTAGACATCAGAATTCAAACTTTGCTTAACAAAAATACATTTAACTGAACAGCATTACCGCATGCTATTAAACAGATTAAATCAGGTTTTTTTTCCATAGAATAGCTGAAGGCTGTTTATTTTCACGCACCCCTGCTGTACAGCTGTATGCTGCAGAGGAGGTTTTTCCTCTATTTTTGTCTCCTGTGCAAACTGGACAGAAATGTCAGGTCATTTTTCCCTTGTCCCCTGGATGATCACAGAGGCGCGGCTGAGATTGAAACTAGTTAATGGAAATCTTTTCCAAGTAGGCTTTGCTAATAAAAATTTTAAAAAAATATTATGAGTGCAACAATCCAGTTGGCCACAGATATGTCAAATTAAGCCATTATAAATATAAAAGTTACTAAACAGGCACCAGGGAGAGAACCAGAGCGACCAGGAGAAGGGATCTTTTGAAAACTTTTTTTAACAGTGAGCTTTTATAAATGACCCTGATACTTCTAATACAGAACAGAAATCTTAACCATTCCTTCTAGCACTACAGATACTGTATTCTTTGGTGTAGAATAGATTAGTTTAGATTAGTTTGTTTTATAAAGAAACATTGCATGCTGTAGCCTCAAGCTCACAGAAATGGTAGAGATGGAAAAAGTCATCTTGAGAAGATGAGAGAGAATTCGAACAGGGATTTGTGCCAGAAGGAATGAATATTTTTAAGAAACATTGTCTGTCTCTGATAGCTCCTAAAATAGTTTTTAAAATCAAGTAAATGTCC